TTGGAGATGTTCTGACCCAGTTGTCCATCACACTGTGGTTCTAGTCAAAGTGGCTCAGATCCTCACGCTGCCCATTTTTACTGATTCTAACACATCAACTCTGAGGACAAATGTTCACTGTCTGCCTGATATACCCCCCCACTGACAGGAGCCCTGATAACCAGATTAGAGTTATTCACTGTCAGTGCTCTCTGTGTTAGGACTGATCGGTGTATCTTATCTTCTTCTTTAGTGCACACCTTCCAGCGATGGAAGAAGTGAAGTAAAGCAGCAGGAATTGTTGCCAGGTTGGTTTAAGTGAAGACAAACTGTGTGTTAGTACAGTTTGTATACAGCCTCACACAGACGCAGTAACGGGACAGTGCACGTGTGAACAAACAGCCGCTCACCTGTTTGCGTACGTATTCCACCATCATCTCGAGCTGCCGGGGGTCCTCACACTCACGATTGAACAGGTTTCTCCAGAGAGCTGCAGCCAGCACACAGTCATCAGACAGGATTCCCTACACACACACACACACACACACACACCAATAAATATTAGAACTTTAACTTTTAAAATGGTGAGACGAGACTCTTAAAATCAACACCCAATAAGTACATGATTTATTTAAATATTGGTTTTACTTTATTTTCACAGGTATAACTTAAGTCCTTTTAATATAATGTAATGGATTTGACCTTTATATTAACTTCTGTACTTTTTATTTCGCAAATAAAATATACAATTCCAATAAAAGTCCATAATATTTCTAACACGTTCTTTAAAATGTTTTCGATGCTGTTTTTTTTACACTGTGTGTGTGTGAAACTCTCACCTCATCATATCCAAATATCGCTGCGTAGAACGTCTCCGTCATCGATTTCGTCGCTTCCTTTCTATGGATGGCATCGACCTATGTCGCAGAGACAGAAAGAGCATTAAACACAGAGTGAAGCTGAGGATGGTGGGAATGTCAGTTGTTGTATTTTTCTGCACAATAACACCGCACACAATCCACTGTGTGTCCTCAGTGAAGAGAGGGAGAGTGGAGTCGCTGTAGAGTTTCAACCGGTTGCAGCAGTAATTATGAACACAGAGAAAATGACCAATGTTTTCACTGCTTCTTCCCACAATTAACATGAAACCTAAGAAGAGCTCCAATCACTGGTCCGGGTGGCGGTTTGTACAAATACATGTGCTGCTGACGAAGAGCTATATGAGGAACACTGTGTGTAGGCTGTGCTGGTTCTTCAGTTAGAGACACGCACACACACACACGCACACCCACCCACACACACACACTTAAAAAACAAGCTTTCCCAACACATGATCTTCATGCTTCAGCTCTCCAGAATGAATAAAACATGCAAATATTAGAGTAGAGCTCTCAGCCGTCAACATAAATCCACTCTTATAATCCAAACCACAACTGTGTCAGTGTTCTCCGAGAACGAGCCACATGTCCTTTAAAAAGGTCAGAGGTCAGGCCCTCCTTTTATTATCATTACTTTTTTCTTTTTCTCTTTTGCATTCCAACTTGTGACACATGTGATTGATGATTAGTTAGTAAGAGTTAGCTGAAGATGGATCTGTGGCCAGCTGTTAAGGTTACATTTCAGACAGAAAGTAGAGCTTAAGCTTTTTACTTCCGTTCAATTCTTCCTGTAACACTTAATGCACTCAAATACTGACATATTAGAAGGAAAATAGATCACAAATGAATGCTCCATCGTCAGACTCTGACCTGCTGATAATTCCTGAACTACTGCAGCTGTTTTAGAGCAGCACTACAGACTGATTAACATGCACATGTGAAGGCACATTGTAAGCACCATATGCTTAAACCCTGTACTTTCTATGACTGAGTATGGTCGCACATCTGCAGCGATCAACGCTCATTAGTCCACATCTGCAGCCATTCTGTTTTTGTCTTTGTTAATGGTCACATTCAAAGTGACGCCATCTTAAATGAAGACAAACCCAACTGCAGGTGATGTTTGCATATAGTTGGACACTAATCGCTGCCCAGTGAGCGTCACTAACCCGGCTAATCCGACTGGCGCGCTGCAGCCGACTGCTGAGCTGCCACAACTCTGCAGGTAAAACCAGAGCTCTAGAATTGATTTTATTTTTTTATTTTAAGTAGCAGACATAAACTGGGCATTTGACAGTAATTGTTTGGGTCACAGGACCAAACGTCCTGTACCGAACAGCTTGGGACAAACACACGTACCCTCACACCCCGACTCTGTGTCGATTGTGGCGGCCCCCTGTGGACTAAACTGTTTCCTTCGCTTTGTTTCTCTGATTTCAAGAAGAATCCAACCGGGTGGCAGGCATCAATAATAAGTATATAGAAATAGCTTCTCTCTGATGTTTGTTTGTGTTTATGTACATATAGAGGGATCAGCATTAACACTCATAACCAGGTACACATGCTTGTAGAATCTTTATGGGTTGTGTGACGTCAAATTGATGAAGAATTTTTAATCGCAGTACGTTTGAAGGCTCTGCCAGCACGTAAGGATATATGCAGTGTATGTACACATGCTGACAAAGTTCACATACGCAGCTGTAAAAACACCTACCCCCCCCAACACACACAACACTCCCCTGTGCTCCGCCAATGATGCAGCACACACACCAAGAGTGACTCAAAACCGCACTAATTTCTCTCTGACCTCTTTTCTGTCCACAAAGCAAATGAGCAAACTAAAGAGCTCATATGGTAAAGCTCTGAACCTTGCTCCAGTTCAACCATCCTGCTCATTACATCACAGAGACACACGTTCTCATTCTGTGACAGCGCACCGAGCCAGTGGAAGTCTATACATTCAACTGCAACCAGAGTGACTGATGACCCAAACTGCCTACAGTATCATTTATTTAAAGAACCCTGTATCTGAACTCACTCCCTGTTTACAGAGGAGTGGAGCGA